GCTAGGTTGTATTTAAGAAGTATTTTGTTAGACTTACAATTCTTGCTTATTAGGCTATTCAAGTATTTTCTCTGTAGCTACTCTTTTTTAATTCTTAGCCTAGTAGTTTTTCCTAATACTTCTTACTAGTTAATATATATTATCAATTCAGTAAAATAATATACAAGTTAGTTTTATCATATTGATTTCAAACTTATAAATCTGATATAACTATAAATTGAGTTTGCTGTAGAGTTTACTAACTCCAATTTGTTTTTAATTAAGATTCAAATTGGTCTTTGCAGATTGTTACAGATTGTTTTGCTAAGAAATATTGTTTGTAGTCTATATTCAATACTTGGTAAAAAGATACTATTGTTTAAATAAATTAGTTGGCTTGTAGATATTTTTTTCTATTTGATTACTTTACACATTCTGCTTATTTTATTTTTTATTATATTCAAGCTTAGGCTTAGCTTCTCTTTGCCTGAGATCCAGACTCTAAGATGTCTTACTAGGTCTGTTTCCTTTTTTGCTAAGACTTTGTTTAGACTTTTGTTTACTGTTATTGCTAGTTAGTTTTTATTTTTATACCTTTTTTTGTTAATATTTATAGCTATAAGCTTTGATTTTTGCTATTAATCTCAATGTTATTGATTTTATAGAACTTATTAGAGATATCAATTATTCTTTGCAGCTCTTTTTTTGATTTAGTAATCCAAGTTGTATCATCTGCATAAGCCAGAACTGCTTGTTAGTGAAATATTTCTTTTTTTAGATTGTATGTTATATTTGTTAGCCACTTTATTGTTATTTTATATTCAAGATTTTTGTTTTCTTAAACTAAATAGAGCAGAGAGTTATAGAATATATGCCAGGATAATAGTGAGATTACTTCAATCTGATTAAGTCTATCTTTAGCTTTGAATTCTTTTGTAAGACCAAAGTTGATTATAACTTTAATTTTCTTTTTTTCATATAAGCTTAAGATGAAACTAGCTATATTCTTTAGTAGTTTTATTCTTTCTAAAGACTTTTTTAGCATTTCTAGTTCTACTGAATTGAATACTTTACATATATCTTGAAACAAGATCTATAGCTTATTGTTTTTTTGCTTTGTATTTTCTAATATATTGTTTATTATATGTACTGAACTTGCTATACTACTATCTAATAGACTTGCAAAATTTTAGTCCTTCTAGTATATTATAATCTTGTCTAGTCTCTGTATTATTACTCTTATTATAGTTTCACAAAAAGTTTTGATCAAGACTATAGGGTATATATTAGCTAAGTTGAAGTTCTAGTCTTCTTCTTTAGTAATTAGATAAAGTTGGTTTAGTTTCCATTTAGTTAGAATTTTTCCTTTCTGTATATAGATATTTGCTAGATATCTGAAGGTTTTTTGTGTGCTAAGTTCTGTTTTCTTAATTAGTGAGTAGCTTATATCAGATAGGTCTAGTGCAGACTTAAACTTAGTTTTTTTAAGTATTTCTGTTCATTCCTCTACTATGACTTTATCTTCTAAGCCTTTATATATTTTAGTGTTCACTTTCTTTAAGAGTTTGTAAGCTTCTTTCTATCTCTTAGGTAGATTTGTACTTTGAGTATTTCTTTTTCTGAATTGTTTTTGAAAGTGGTCTCTTATTTCTTTTAGAACTTTATCTTTTTGATTAAACAAGGTTATATCTGAGTTATCTTCTTTTATAACTCTGTTTATAATTACTCATCTAGAAAATCTCTTAAAGAGGCTGCTTATTATATGTTTTAGCTCTTCTTGAATTACCTCATAGTATTGTTCTACTGCAGTATTTATTTCTTCTAAGTCTTCTTTTTTCTTTGCTTATTATACTTTTTTATACTGTATATAATCTTCTACTAAGTCTTGAGATTTTTAAGTCTTCTTTTAGACTATACATTTTCAAAGAGCTCTTCTATTTCAGTTTCATATATGTTGTTAAGATTGGTTATCTGTAAATTAATATTAGTTCTGATTGAATTATTAATTTCTTGACTAATTCCTACTACATATTGCTGATATATTTTTCTAATTATTTTTAGATCTTTTTTGATATCATCACTAATACTTTTTTTCTTTCTTGCTTTAGTTCTCTTAAATATAACTTTTTTGTCTAATAATGTTGTTCTTGCATACTTGATAATACTAGTTGATATCAAATCCCATAATTCATCTTTGTTTAGTATTTCTAGGCTATTTGAGTTGTTTTTCTTTTTTTTCTTTTTATTGTCTAATTTCTCTTCAAGTATATTGTTTAGCTTAGCTTTGTAATCATCCTAATTTTCTTCTGTAGCTTTGTTCAAGTTGTATATCTACTTCTTGCCTTTTAGCCTTTTATTGCAAGCTACTATTCTAGACCTTTTCATTATTTCTGTTACTATTATTGTATTTACTATAATATGATCACTGTTCATAATTATATCTGCTTTAGTTATTTTGCAACTTATTAAACTTTGTCTTAGATTTTTTGAAACTCATATATAATTGATTCTAGACTTGATCTAGTCACTTGATCTTATGAATTTCTTTTTATATATGTGTAATTTTCTGAATATATCTACTATTTCTGAATTGTCAAACCAATTTAGCAGAAGGAGTTTTTGTATTCATTTAGAGTTTCTTCTGCTTTAATCTAAGTTTTTATATCAGATATTATTGAAATCTCTTAAAACTATGATTTTTGTTGCTTTTCTTTAACAATTATAAATTCTTTTTATAACCTGTTATTATATATCCTTTCAGATTTTTTGATCATTATATAGTACATACACTACTATTACCTATATTTTCTACTTTTTGAATATGAATAGAGCTTCTATATAGTATGTGTTAATTTGTTTTACCTGACTTAAATACTTCTCTTATTCTTTATTCATGATCAAACTAACTCTAAAACCCTTTTTTTTGTTTTTTTCTGTATCTGTTCAGATCCTTAGGTATTTCTCTTGTTTGCTAATAATAAATTTGCTATGTTTCTTTATTGTATTTGTTTTATTAATCTCTATTATATTTATCTTTTTCTGTTTTGTCTATTCCAAAAAATTCTTTAATTTAACGGAGTTGCCTTTGATCCTATTAATATTATAAGTAGCTATATTTAATAAATAATAGTCCTTAACTATATTGCTTCTGCTCTCTCCTAATCTGGTTTTTTTTTCTACTTTTCTTTCTATTGAAGATAGTTAACTCCACTATCTGTTATTATTAGATCAACTAGTATACCTATTAGGAGTAGTTAGAAATATCTCATTTCATATATTAGATTTTTTCTTTGAAGCTTCTTATAAGCTATATCATATAGTCTATAAAGTTTTCATAGCTAGATACTTAACTAAAAAATGCTTTTTTTTCACTTCTTTGATTTTTTTACTTTTCTTTTTCAGATATATACTTTTCTGTTGAAATTCTTTAATAGAGTTTTCATTATCAAGTACTTTGTCATTATTTGACTCAGTATCTAAGAAGCTTAAGCAATAGATATTTTAGTTATAATTCTTTTATACTCCTTGCTATAAAATATTTTTTTCTTTTTTTTTGACCATTTCTAGAGCTAAGAGAAAAAACCAAAAACTTAAAAATTTTTACTAAGAAACAGTAGCAAAGCTACTAGTAAAAAAAAGAAAAAACTAAGAAATAGATATAACAAAGATAAAAAATAAGAAAAAGAAGAAAAAAATAGAAGACTAGAAGAAGTTTTGAGAAAAAAGACTATGAAAAAACCAAAAATTATTGAAAAAGTAGGAATTGGAGATACTTTGTAATGTAGATTATTTAGAGTAACACAAATACATATAATTAAGGTAAACAAACAAACACGAGATAGTGAAGTTATACATGTCATGTATCAAGTAGTAAAAGTATATACGTCTAATTAAAACTAGATATTTTATTGGTAAAAAGGAAAAACTCTAAGGAATTTCAGAAAAAAGGCAAGGTCACTTATAAGAACAAGAAAGAGAAGAACTAAGTAGAACATTAGATAGAAGAGACCTAAATAAAGCTAGAAGTAAAGTAAATCAAATATGTGAAACAAAGAAAATTCTAAGGTAGTGACTAAGAGGTTCATAGAAAAATATGGAAGAGAGTTATTTCAAGAAGGAAGCAGTGAAGCAGAAAAAATAGAGGAGTTCTTCGATGAAACAATTGCATCAGCAATGAGAATTAATAAAGAAGTAGTCATAGTAGCAAGGCAATGGAGAGAAGTAATGAAAAGAATTGCTATACTAGAGGGCCTAGAGAAAGTAAAAGAAATAATAACACAAAAAGATAAACAAGAAGAGTTAGTTATAGAAGAAAAGAACACAAGTAACATAGAAGTAAAAATGCAAATGAAACCAATAACAAACATAGAGAAGCATGAACAAGAAGAAGATATAGTTGTCGAGGTAGAGATGAAAGTAAGCAGAATTGAAGAACAAGATGAGAATGATGAAATCGAAGAGGAAAAGATAGAAGATATTAGAATAATTAATAAAAGCCTAGAAATCAAGCCAAGAAATGATATAGTCAAGGAAAAGTTTGATCAACTTGAAGAATATTTCAAGGCACGATATAGTAACTTATCACTTAATGAAAGCATATAGGCATCTAAAAAAGATACATATAAAGAAGAAAGTATATATAAAACAAAAGTAGCAGCAATTAATGTATTAGGTGACAACATGGAGCAAAGAGAAAAGTGTATTAGATGGTCATTGAGAAGAACCAAACATTTAAGAAAGATTAATGAAAAATTCGCAAAGGGAAATTTATAGTGCATCTTATATTTCGATTGCAAAAGAGGTTATGAAGAAGCGAAAGCTAAATTTGAGAGCAATAAAGAAGAGTATGAGCAACTAAATCTAATTCTAGAGGAAGCACCAATGAAGAAAGCAAATAAAACAAATGATAATAAGCAAAAAGTGATAAGAAGAGTAGAAAGTCAGAATATAAACAAAGAAGAAAGAGAAAAGCAAGCAAAAATAGAACTAGAAGAGATTGAGAGAAAAAGAGGTGAACTAAGAGAAGAACAAGTGAAGATTCAAATAAACCAGATTAAAAACAAAGGAAAAGGAAAGATGGTATATGAAGAAGACAAAATAGAAGAAAAAGTACAAGCAAAAAATATCACCATAGAAGCAGAAAAGAAAGAAATTGATACAAGATATCAAGGAATTGAAGAGAATAGAGGGAGAAGTATTCTAAAGGAAAAGAGAAAGTGATACTATGATGAGGAGAGTAAAGGCTCAGAAGGCTCAAAGAAAAGAGATTTGAACTAAGAAGGACCTAAAGCGAGCATAAGCAGAGAAGAAAAGGCAATAACAATATGGGATATTCCATTATATATTTCAAGAACTCAAGTATTTAGAGCAGTAATACATATGGGAAGAGTTGCAAATATTGAAATGATTCAAGAAGGTTGTATGAAAATGAGAGCAGAAATTATATTTGAAGAATTGAGAATAAACAACCAAGAAAAAGAAGTCTGGGCTATACCATTACTAAAAAATATACTAGTTCGTATCATACCAAAGCTAAATAGTAGAAAGTTCTTGAAAGCTGAAAACAACATATAACAAAATTATATAATATCCCAAGAGAAGCTAATGAAGTACTTCTGTTTAGACAAATTAAGCATACAGAAGCAAAAATGGTATATATCTTCAAAAACACAAATGGAAATAATAAAGGATTCGCTATAGTTTCATTTAAAAGTAAAGAAGAGTTAGAGTAAGCAAGAAGATATAGTATGCGATATTATGACACAAGACTCTCCTGGAAAAATGCAGAGACTAATGCTAATGAAATATTACACGATAGAGCAAGACAAAAGAGAATGAACTTGGAGCAAGAATAGAGAAGCAAGTAGCATAAACAAAGTGATATAAATAAAAAAGAAGATATAGCCAACAGCTACGAGAATAGAAAACAGTATGATAAGAAAGAAAATATACAGAAAAATGAAGGAGAAGAAGCTAGCAAGAAGAGAAAAACTGAAAAAAGCAATAGGCAGATAAGCAACATAGAAAGCCAAGAAGATAATAACATGTCAATAGTATACATAGTTCAACTTATTCACAGATTAGAGGAAAAAGTAAGTAAGTAGGAGCAAAATGCTCCTAATCACTCTTGAAAGTAGCCAAAGTCCAACTACAAGATACCTGTATAACTTATGAAAGAAAACTTAAGTATACAAAAAGAGCACATAGTATACTAAACCAAAGTGTTAATAGAAAGACAAAGGTGCAAGAAGAAGAGTTAAAGAGAAGTGAAGATAAAGAAATGAAGTATGCATAGAAGAGAAAGATCAAATTTGGAATGCACAATATTAATAGAATAAAAGGTAACATGTTAAAGTTTGAACAGTTAGCAGATTATTGTAACGAAGAATAATTTAACCTAGTAGGTATTGTAGAAACAAATATAAGTGAAAAAGAAGACAAATAGTTTAATACAGAGAATGAATCATACAAAAGTTTTTGGATGAATATAAAAGAAGATAAGAATAAAGAATCAAGAATTGGCCTTCTAGTAGACCAGAACTGGCTTTGACATATGGGAGTATGCAAGAAATTTAGTCCTTATCTTCTCAAAGCAGAGTTTTATTTTAGAAAAGTTATAATACAGATATGAGTTTTGTATATACCATCTAAAAATGAAAAAGTAGCCAAAGAAGTACACAAGATAATCATAGAAGAGCTTATCAAAAATAAGAAAAATATATATAGTATAATAATGGGAGACTTCAATGCTGTATTCAATTATGATCTAGATACTAGTAGCAGAGAAAAACAAGCAAAAGATGCAAACACAAAAATTATAAAATAGCTAAGCAATTTAGATTATATTGAGTCATTTCGCTTCTGCAACCCAAATTCTACTAAGTTTTTATAGACAAATAGCAATATAGCAATATGAATTGATTACATATAGTGCTGTCAAGATTTAAAGCTATTCATCGTAGAAGAGGATATTGACAGTTCAGAAACAATAACAGATAGTGATCATAGTATAGTGTGGATGCAATTAGATAGTATTGACTTATTCGAAAAAGAGCGAATAAGAACTAAGAAAAGCTAAGGAGAAACAAGAAGAATCTATTTGTACCACAAAGCAACAAAAGAAGATTGGAAAGCATATAGCCAAAGAGTAGAACAGTTGCTGATAAATGCAAAAAGAAAGCAAAGAGAATAATAGCATAGATTACAGAATATAAAAAGTGAAAGCATTGATGAGAACTGGGAAATTGTAGCTAGAGCAATAACAACAGCTGCAAATGAATATATACCATCAACAAAAGTACAAAACACAAAATACCAGATAAGAAAAGAAGTGCCTAAGTCAATATTATATAATAAAGCTAAGGTACTAGGTAAACTATATAGAAAAGATATAAAGAACTTAGGAGAAAGTACAGATGAGGTTGAAAAATTGTTATATAATACACGTATTAGACAGTTAAATAATAAGTACAACATACAAATTCCTGAGCTAGCAGGTAAATAGAATGAAGAATAGTTTAAAGAGATAAAAGATTAGTAGAACATACTAAGAGAAAAAGCTAAAAAAGAAGTAAAGATAGAAAAAAAAATGGAAATTAGAGAGTATATCAAAAGAAGGTTCGCAATAGATGTAGCAGAACTAAAAAAAATATTTAATAGTTTGCTAGAAAGGCACTATAGCAAAATAGTATTAGACAAAGTACTAATCAATAGCGAGAGTAAGTTTAAAAACAAAATATTAATTACAGGGAACAAGGAAGTAAAAGAAAAAGTAGTATGGCATTTTCAGAAGCAATTCTGTCAAAGAAATTACAAATTTGATAGAATGAAAGAAGAGTGGAAAAAAATTTACGAAGAACAAAACAATATTAAAGAAGAATAGTACAAAGAAGTAATGACAGAAGTAACAGAAGAAGAATGAAGAGAAGTAATATACTCATTGCAAAAAGATATAGCACCTGAAATCTCTGGTATTGGCTACAAGCTAATTAAAAATGTGAGCATAGAAAGTACAAATCACATGATTAACCTTGCAAATAAGGTTATTGTAGGAGGAGAGTTCCCAAAGAAATAGAAACTTGAACAGATATACTTAATTCCTAAAAGTAATAACTAGGAACATAATCTGACATTCACTCATTCAATAATGCTACTAGAGATATTCCACAAACTAGTAGTCAGAATTGTGCAAAAAAGACTTTGCAGAGTAATAGTATAAAAAAGAATACTCAAAAGTACTAATTATGCAGGTCTGCTCGGAGAAAGCATAATGGTACCAATACATATCTTGAATAATATGATTGAAGATACTATATAGAAAAACAATGAACTCTGGATTGCATTTCAGGATATGAAAAAAGCTTTTGATTCAGTAAGCATAACTATACTCGAGTTTGCAATGAAGAGAATAAGATTTCCTGAAAGCCTGATTAAGTTCATTAAACAGTTATATAAGGATCGTGAAATAAGAATCATCACAGATAATAGACCAACAAGTTTTTTTACAGCAGGTGATAGAATTGATCAGAGTAAAGTGATATCTTCTCTAATGTAGAGAATTTTTTATGATCCACTGTTAGTACACATATAACAGGCAAGACTTAGCTATGAAATATATCTTAAATAGCTATTAGATATAAGCAGAAATATTATAAGAGATAAGAAAGTTGAGGTCATAGCATTAGCCTATGCAGATGATACTACATGGGTAGCAAACTCGAAAGATTTACTGCAAAGCATTATAAATATCTTAAATAAATTCTTTGAGCTTAATGATATAGAAATTAACAGAGCAAAGTTAGAGCTAATCGTATGGAAGCCAAACAAAAAAGCAAAAGTGACAGAAGAAATTTGAATAGAAATGCCTCTTGAGTTTATTAAAGCCAAAAAAGCAAAAGAAAGCACAAGGTTTCTTGAGGTTTGGATAAACCTTAAGAGACAAGAAAAGGCAAGCAGAAGCTGATGTAAAAAAGTTGTTAGCCATTTGACAAACATGCTGAGAATGAAGAAACTATTGATTAATCAGATAGTATATATAAACAATATGGTTTTGTTATCAAAATTGAAATATATACTATCAAATGTAATAATCGATAAAAAGAAATGTGATGAAATATACTAACTATTCATAAGACTATTGAAACAAAAAGCAGAGCTACTAATCATATATACAAATACGACAGTCTTATATAATGAAATATTTAAAGTTATGAGCTTATAGCAAAAGCATATAAAGCACCATGTATTAGAACTCTTTATACGAATGAATTCAAATGGTTTACTAGGAGACACAACAATAATGCATCTGAAGCAATATCAGTTAAACACAAACTCAGCAAAATGTATCTTAACATTAAAAAGTAGTAAATTAAAAAATATAATCAGCAGAAATCTCAGAGCCAAAGTTTTACAGATAGCAAAAAAACTTGGCTTCACAGTCTCCAAAAGTATAGATACAGAGTGCTGGCATGTGATTAAGTTATATGAAAGAAGAGATTTGCTAATTCAAAGTATACTCTCAAAAGCAAACCAGGAAAAAAGTATTAGCAAGACTAGTAGATTAAATATATGGCATTTAAATCAACTACTAGATTCTGAAAAGAAGCATATGATTACATGGAGGCAGCTCAAAGTATTAAGAGAAAAAAAACATGTAGAAAAAAAAACAAGATGGTTCGCTCTTCTCGAAGTAGAAGTAATTGAAAACATGTTTATAAGAGAAATTAAAGAGAGGTTTAAAAGTGAGTTTGAATTGCAAATAGAGCAAGAAAAAAAGGAAGTATCAAGTGATAGAAGAAAAAGAGAATAGATACTTTTGGAAGTAAATACTGAAAACAAAAAAGAAATTGGACGAATCACAAGAAAGAGCAAAAAAACAGCGGAAGTGAAACTATGGGAAGAGGATAAAGAAAATGAAAGATGATAAGAAAATGGTTATAATGAAGAATTTAAGATAAAGTTAAAAGAGAAGAGCACAAAATGAATAAAGTTAAAAGAGCTA